GATCCGGATTCGAGCTGGTCAGGCGAGTTGTGGGGACTCGGAGTTGGTACCTTTGAAGGGTTTCGTCGGCCACCAGAAGCATGCAGACACCGCGGGCTAGAGGCAGTGTCACCGACTCGTGTGGGCCAGAGTGGGCGAAAAGACAGCTTCTGCTCACGTGTGACATGAGGCGATGGTGTGATTACAGACGGACAGACAGCCGGAGCGACAGACAGCCAGACGGTAGGCGCACACGACGTAGCCGACTGGCACAGGCCGACAACCAGACAGCATGTGTGGCCACTTGTGCGTGTGTTTCACAACCGCAATTTCGTCCGTCGCCCACTCCGCTGCCTCGGACTGTGGGTCTGCTCACGGCAGCTCTTTACGCCTGTCCACATGCGCCACATGCCGACACGTAAACACACATGAGCTAATCAGTCGGTGTGGACAACTTTTCCGTCGTCATGCGCTCACTTCCAATCTGGCCGAAGCAGCACAACGGCCACTCCGCCCTCGCCTGCAGGGCCAGACTGCATGTGGGATTTGTCCGCGCCTGTACCAGGCAGCATCGCGACTGTGAAACTGGGAGAACGGGCCACTGAAGGAGTGTGTGGGCGGAGGATGCGTAAGCTGAGTGGAGGCGTGGGAGGGTGAGTAAGCGAAGGAGAATAGTGTCTCCCTGCCTCCAGACTGATACCCATTTGCGTGTGTGTGTGTGTGTGTGTGTGCCTGTGGAAGGGAGAGAGATTGAGATGCGTCACCAGGTGAGCACGATCCAATGTTGCCAAGGGGCTGTCGCCCTCGCAGACTCAATTCGTCTGGTAAGCAAGACAGGCAGGCGGACAGACAGACAGACAGCAAGATGTTGGGACGGTTAAACGGACGGACGGGCGGACAGATGGACAGACAGACGGACGAGTGGAGTGAGAATCATACGTTTTTATGGTCATATGGTCGGACAAAGAGTCGGACGGATGGATGGAGGGTTGAAAGGTCGGGCGGCAAGACCCACGTTTTGAGGGTCCGACTGTCAACCAGAGGGTCGGACTTGTGGAAGGTCGGAAGGAAAGTCGAATATTTAGAAGGTTGGGATGTTAGACAGAGAGTGGGATTAGCGGTTTGTCCTATGATGGTATGGTTGGAACTAAAGTCGGACATTTGGAGGAATATATGATGGAAAGGTATGAAAAAGATGTGTGTGTTTGGATGATCGGGTGGTCGAAAGGTTGGACAGGAAGTCGAATGTTTAGATGGTTGGACCGTCAGACAGAGAGTGGGATTAGCGGTTTTTCCTATGATGGTATGGTTGGAACGAAAGTCGGACATTTGGA